TTGCTGAGAGCATGCTTTTAATCCTGTTTTTACAGTCTGCACCATTCTTTCCGCTAACCCGTTCGACTAAGGGTGATATGGGGGTGTCTAATACGGTTTACATCCTATTTTTTCTAACCATAAATTAAGATCTTCATCACAAAATTCTGGTGCGTTGTCAGATACCAGGGTTTTTGGTATGCCGTTTCTGGAAAATATGACCCTTAGAATCTGTTTTATCGTAGAACTTTTCTTGTCTGGCACCTCGATTATTTCAGGCCAGCCTGAAAAAGAGTCTACTAGAATTAATAAGAGTCCCCCCAGTAATATCGCATGATCCATATGCACCCGATTCCATGGCTCCACTTCTCTGGGCCACGAATGTAAAGTAGTCTGTATAAAGTTTCTTAATTCTTTACATTTTTTACACCTTTTATATATTCTTCGACATCTCTTGAATATCCCGCCACCATGCTTCTAATTTTATCCTTTTTTGTGTGGCCGCTTCTCCACAGTGTATATCATCATGTACACTTTTATTACCAATTTTCTTTTGTGTTTCTGGGGGAACTACCAGATCCCCATTACAAATCACTCTATGTTCTATTGTTAATTTCTGTCTTATTTCTTTGTAGGGTCTTTCCGCCCTAGAACAATTTCTCCATGAGTTTTTTCTCATTCTCAATATTATCCTACTTAGTACTGGATCATGTCTAGTTTCTGCAGCCATTCAATCTAAAGACAAACATCAGTCTCTACCCAATATAAGAATGCATCTTCAAATTCTTCTTCTGTTTTATCTTTTGACTCCTTGTAAAATCGCAATCTACGTGTGGAATTGAATTTCCTTTGACATATTCTATATCAAAGTCAAATGCCATTAATCTTATTGCCCATCTTAGTATTCTTGATGTCATGACTTTGGGCAATTCTTTCCTTGGGATAAATATAAATTCTAATGGTCTATGATCACTTCTTAACAGAAATTTTTTCCCAATTAAAAATTGTCGGGCTCTAGTAGTTGTCCACACAATAGCCAATGCTTCTTTCTCTATATCTGAATAATTAAATTTGGTGTTCATTAGTCTTCTTGATAAATACATTATCGGATGTCCTTCTTGTGATAATATTCCGATATCGAATGTTCGCTTGCATCTGTGGTTAACGTAATGTCCTTTTTTGGATCAAACATTTTCACTACTGGTTTCTTTGCCATAATTACTTTTAATCTATCAAAAGCTTTTTTGTTGTTCCTCTGACCAAATAAATTCAACATTCTTTTTTCTTAAATTTGCAAACGGTTCAGTCAAGTCCGTGTATTTTGGTAAATATCGCCTGTAAAATTCACCAATCCCAAAAAGACTAGTTCTTTTTTATTTGTAGGTGTAGCTACTTTTAGTATTTTTTTCTATCAAGGCTTGGTCTGGTGATATACCTTCTTTTGAAATAGAATAACCTAAAAAATACTACAATTGCTTACACATTTTTTCTCATTTATTGTCATTCCAGCATTTCTTAATCTATTCATATTTTTCTTTTTTAATTCATTTTCATTAGTAGCTCCTATACATATATCGTCTTGGTAACAAATCATATTTTTCATATTTTCTAAAACCCATTCGATTGCTCTTTGAAATATGGAACTTGCGGTTTTTATTCCATATGGCATCTTTTTCCATCTTAGTAACCCTATTGGCGTATTTATCATGGTTACTTCTTTGAAGTTATCGTTTATTGGTATTTGGTGGTATGCCGTTTTTAAATCTATTTTTGTAAAAACGCTCATTCCTGCCAGTGCATGTAATGCAAGTTCAACATTTGGTATGGGATATGAATCCGAACAAACTTTGTGATTTACACCTATTTTGTAATCTCCACAAATACATAAATCACCATCTGTCTTTCTCAAAACTACAATGGGTGATGCCCACTTGCTACCCCCAGGGGGAACATGTTCAAGAAGGTCTTGTTCTATTAATTTTCATAGTTTTGTTACTACTAATGGCAACAAATGTACTGGTAATTTTCGTGTTTCATAATAAGAGGGGGAGACATTTTCTTTTAATTTTAAACTCGCTTTATAGTTTTTTTCCATTTTTATCTCATTAATTAATTTGGTAGAATTTATGCTAAGCATGTCGTTTCCAAGAAGTCCGTGTTTCTTTTTACAACTTGTGACAATTATAGATATTACTTCAAATTTATCTTCTAACTCCAAGGAACCTTCAAAGTATCCTAAAGTTTTTATGACCGACCCATCAAATTGGCAGAGTTGTAAACTGCTCTTTCGTAAAGGTGGCTTTCCAATGTGTTCCCCAAAATTTTTTAGTATCAGTGTTACTTCACTCCCAGTATCAATTTGCATATCTAAATTGCAGTTGTTGATTTTAACCTTTAGTATAATGTCTTTTTTCTTTTGTTCAATTTTTTCTATATTCTTATTTTTTAATGTGAAGACTTCCATATTGGTTTTGTTTTCTTCAACTCTTTCAATGTTTTTCTTTTTGAATTTGCATACTGCTTGAAAGTGGTTCTTTTTTAAACAATTTGTACAGGTTTTTCCAAATGCTGGGCATTTTTCCCTTTTTATTTCTTGTTCACATCCACAATATGAACATTTTCTTATTTTTTTTAACATGTACGTATCAGCGAATATTTGTTCGCTGGGTTGACTTTTATGATGGTTGTATTTCTGTATTAATTCTTGTTGCTGTATAAAGTCAATGCATGTATTTAAAGACATATTTCCTATTTGTAGTTGTTCCATTATTTTATATCGGTGTGATGCATTGCACATACCTTCAATTAACCTTAATTGAATCATGTCCTCTTCAATAGTCTGTTCGTCTTGTCCGAGTTTTTCAAATTCGCAATATCTACTCACATTTCGTAGACAGTGTAGATATTTTATAATTGGTTTGTCAATTTCTTGTTTCATCGACATGAACTTCATTCTTTCTGCCAATACCAGCCTTTTATTGGGTCTCATATTTCGCCTTATAATCTGACTTATTTTTTCGAAAGTCAGGTCTTCCAAGTTTGTGGGATATGCCATGGCGGAGACTTTCATTATCACCTCGCATCCACCTGTAGCCAAAAATAAATCCGTAATTTCATTTTCGCCTCCCTTCTCCTTGTTGTCTTTCAGCTTTTTAATTCTTGCACTGGCAGAAAAACATTGAATCCATGCATCCACGAAATCTGAATCTTCTAGAGACAAATGGGATCCTATCTGCGACGTCATTGATGTGAAGTCGAACTTTAGCACTAGTCAGTCGCTAAGCTTGTCTTCATTCCATGTTATTCTCAGTGACGAGTTATATAGGCTTTCTCTTGCACTTAAGCAGTACGAGGTTTACCTTATGACCCTGATGGGTCACAGGATTCACAATCGTGATTGAATTATATAATCACATAGTGTAAAGTCATATTTCCTAGAGTCTGTGCCAAAGTTGAGTGTAAAAAAACACCACATACCTGTTCAACATGCATAAACTTCGGTTATAATACTATGGAAGGTTCACCATTAGACTTAACCAGCAACCTCTCAACACCACCAGCACTTCTGCCAGACATGTGAACTTAACATTTCAAACTGTTGAATTACATGCCAGCTTAACCTACAGGGACTCTGGTCTATATTCTAAATAAATTTTGAGCCCTGTCTGCCCAATGTACACATACAAATAAATACACACACAAATACACATAGACATGAATATATATATTTTTTTTTATTCCTTGAGAAAAAAGAGAGATGACAACAGCACCCTCGTTAATTTCAAGGGGGTAATGAACTATACAAAGCAGAAAACTTCTAAATAAAGTATTCAGTGTTTTAGCCTTTAAAACATAATTTGCCAGATACTTACCTAACTTATCCAAGTGACATCACTTCATTTCCACCTTCCTTTTATTAGGAATACTTTAGTGTCAATTCTTAGTTCCCCAAAAAGAAAGTGATGCTTTTGTTGAACAGGTTTATAAACATCAGCAGCCACCCTGTGACTATTTTTATTTTAGTGCATAGGTCATTTTATATTGTGCCCACATTCTTGGGGTCTTTGTGTTGTTTATACTTTGTGGATTTACCCTTGGTGTGCCTCTATGTTGGGTTTGGATGTTAGCCATGAGAATGTCATCTTGAGATGCCTGACATGTTACACAGTGGAATGTTTTCACCATATGTGACAATCTTTTAGGGTAATGTGTATATTGTTTCATTATGTTGGTTGCCATATAAAACTATGTGTAAATGCATTTACAAAGGCCAGTATGATGCCAAACATGAACGTCACTTCTTTCAATGGTAATAGGACATTTGTGATCTGAAGAGAAACATTCCTGAAACAAATTACACTGAGATGTCACTGCTATTTCTGTCTTCTCATTCACAGTTGATTGTAGAAAAGAATTCCAAATATTCTCTATATGTTCTTGTTGCCTGTCAAAATTCTTCCACTTGTGGAAAAGTCTCCAGGTTTGTCACCTTTAGATGATCACTTGTTTCTCTTCTTGTCTGGTTAGAAGTTTCAGCAAATTCAAGATATTAAAGTGTAGAAACTCCAGACATATGTGCCCCAAGCTCTCCTGTCTGAAAATAGACATTTATTTAGAATATAGACCAAAGTAGGTTAAACTGACATGTAATCCAACAGTTTGAAATGTTAAGTTCACACATCTGGCAGAAGTGCCGGTGGTGTTGAGAGGTTGCTGGTTAAGTCTAATGGTGAACCTTCCATAGTGTATGGAAGTGTATGGAATTATTTGAAGTCTAGACGATATAGCCAAAGAGAGGAAAATGTCATTTAAATGTCCGGTGCTGGCATTGCGTAGTTGCAGTGAGAAGTTGTCAGGTTATATGTAAAGGGAGTGTAAACCTTAACTGGTCCTGCAAAGTACTAAAAATCTCAAGAAAAAATAAACTGAGATGTGCAACAAAATATAAAAGTAATCACATAATGTAAAGTTATATTTCCTAGAATCTGTGCCAAAGTTGAGTGAAAAACAACACCACATACCTGTTCAACATGAGCATCACTTCTTTCAATGGTAATAGGACATTTGTGATTTGAAGAGAAAAATTCCTGAAACAAATTACGCTGAGATGCCACTGCTATTTCTGTCTTCTCGTTCACAGTTGATTGTAGAAAAGAATTCCAAATATTCTCTATATGTTCTTGCTGCCTGTCAAAAACAAATTACATCAACATATATTTTTTGTTTCAAAAAAGAGAGTTTCTACTTGAAATTAGATCCTTATATTTTGACTTCTTTATGAATTAGGTCTCCAAAAATATTTTCCCTTCAAAAATTTATTAACTTCTTTGAGAGTGTTAAAAAATTCTCAACACAAGCAATTTCCCAAAATCTGACCAAATGACAAAACAAAGGATATTTTTTGTTTTTATTCATTTTCAAGAATGTTAGATCCACAAAATATAAACAACACTAGTGTAGTGGACCTCCAAAAGGTGGGCACAATATAAAATGACCTGTGCACCCAAATAAAAATAGTCACAGGATGCCCACTAATGTTTATAAATTAAAGACATGAAATCTGACAGATGGAAAAAAAATGGACAACTGAACGAAAATATTTAAAATTCATACAAAATTTATTTAGAAGATAGACCAGAGTCCTTGTAGGTTAAGCTGGCATGTAATTCAACAGTTTGAAATGTTAAGTTCACACGTCTGGCAGAAGTGCTGGTGGTGTTGAGAGGTTGCTGGTTAAGTCTAATGGTGAACCTTCCATAGTATTATAACCGAAGTGTATGGAAATGGTTATTTGAAGTCTAGACAATATAACCAAAGAGAGGAAAGTTTCATTTAAATGTCCGGTGCTGGCATTGCGTAGTTGCTGGTCAAGTCCAGTGTCCACTGCATAGTCGATGGTCAAAACCAATGTCGGCATTGCGTAGTTGCTGGTCAAATGCAACATCCCGTACTGACATTGATTAGCTGCTCGTCAAGTCCAATGGTGAGCATTCCATAATATTATAACCGAAGCGTACAGAATAGGTTATTTGAATGTGAATGATATGCCTGCTGCATTTTCCTAAACTAGGTAAGTTAGGTTGACAGGAAAGCCTGGAAGCAGGGACCTAGCATAGCTGGAATTTCAGTGCTGATGTAAGCAACCAAGTGAGTTAGGTCGAGATAGTGATACTGGAAGGAGGGATCAATGAGTAACCAGTACAGAGCTGTTGTGAGCAGATCCATTAATGCAGATAAACCAAGTGAGTTAGTGAAGAGTAAGCGTTCTCAAAGCAAATTTGTGGCTTTCACAACACAAAGAAAGAAAATCACTTGTAACGCGTCAGGAAAATAACTTACGAACGTCGTAGCCAAAACTGCCCGAATTTTCCTTCCCCGAGTCGACAACACCAACTGCTTTTATCGGCAGAACCTATTTTTTCCATTCGTCGACAGCCAGGTTAGGATGCTCCGTAATTTGCATATTAATATATTCTTATAGCGACTCCTGCGATGGACTTGTTTCTTTTTCGTCACAGAATACATGCGACGTGCTGTCGCTTGGGTTGACGAGGTAAGTCGCTATAAGAGTTTTGCTGACTACTTTTTGGCAATCCCTCCCCGGCAGATCGCACACAAAACACAAACTTTTTTCCGGGGTACTTATCTCGTTCACTACAGTTAGGTTGAAATAAGGGCCAGAAGTAATGAAAGGCAAGAATGCTGGAAGAGTCTGTGTTAGCCGGAAGAAGTATAGGCCAAGAATACCAGAAATAAGGATAGATAAGAAAGCCTAACTAGTGTCCATTTGGCAGACAAAAATAAATAGGAATGTAACTCAATACATAACCCGTCCAAGTGCCTCGACCACAATGGCCAGGTGCCTGCGTTTCTCCTCCTCCTTGACCTATTTTCTTTGTTCAGTGAGAAGTCACCGCCTTATATGGAAAGTGAGTGAAAACACTAACTGGTCCTGCAAAGTACTAAAAATCTCAAGAAAAAATAAAGTGAGATGTGCTACAAAATATAAAAGTATAAAAAATGTTCACAAAGTGTATTACAACTAGGTTCATAACACTGAAAGAACTACAAAGTCCTTTGGTTTATTATAAATGTAAATGAACTTAAATTGAAGGGAGTGTGGTGATGCAATGAAAAGCCCATGGTCATGTGGATGGAGTAGCAAAGGGCTACAATACTAGCTCCATAACAAATGAAACTTGTAATAGAGGAAGAAAGTTACTTCATCTTATGACAAGCAAGGTGCCAAGAAGAGAAAGATGTCTTGACCTTCCAAGGGTCAATAGCAAAGAGAATGAATTCAGTGTTTTTTGGCACAAAGTCCATTTTCAGGCAGGAAAAGTTTAATGTTGCATGCTGGGAGAACTTTTATTATTTTGGTTTTATTTATTTTATTTTAAAGAAAGTTTTAATGTTATTTGTTTTATTTTATTTTATTTATGCTATTTATTATTATTATTTTTATTTATTATAAATAATAATGTCCCTACAAACTTTTGGAATATTTTCAATATTGCTTTCCAATCATTTCAAAGAGATTTTAACTGTTTACTGTTTCAAAACCTTCATTATTATTTTTAACTGTTTCAAAATCCTTAGTATTATTCAACTCCTGAATAGTATCACCCTATTCTCCAATAACTGATTATAATATTGTTATGATGTTAATTTGGGGTTAATAAAGACAAACGCCAAATAACATGTAACAATAAAATGGGGTTTATTCGGTTGGTAAGTTGGTACAGATATCGCCTGAGTAGTCTATAACTAACTCAGCTCAGAACTTCTTCTACACTGTCTTTTGACATGCCACTATTTAACGTCCTTGTTTGTAGACGAGTTCATCTTCAAGAGGGGTGGTAGGTTCCTACACAACAAATATGAAGTTTTTTGAGTGATAGCAGTAATGAAAAATCTACAAAATATAATCTCATACCTAATTAACATATATTTTGAATATTTTTTTGTTTGATACACTTTAAAATCCATTTGTAACAATATATTTAAAATTTTTAGAATAAAAAATTCTAAATACAAATCAAATTCTTATTGTTAGAAGAAATATATTCATCAGTATTAATCACAGAATCTATTTTTTATTCTTCAGAAATGAGTCGATTTAATATTACACTTAAATTAATTTTTATTTATTTTAATCCAAACTACCTTGAATTGGTTTGCTATAAAACCAACATTTTAAGAATATTTTCTGCAAAAAAACATTAAATGCAGCACTATCATTTTTTACTCTTTTGTCAGCTAATGAGAGTGAAGGAAACTGAGAAAATATTATTGAGTAAAAAGAATAGGATTAAAAAAGACAGCTGACATTTAAAATTTTGAAGATTGTAGAAGCCAGAAGAGTGTTCCACAGTTGAAAAGTACAAGAGAAGGAACTATTAGAAAAGAACTAGTTACATCAAGCAATTTCAACAGAAAATGAAGAAACCTAGCTGCCAATCTAATACTGCACTTAAATTCATGAAGTCTAGGTATCAAAGTGGAAAGCTCATCAGAGCAATCACCATGAAAATATTTATAGAAAAGGCACATAGAAGCTACATTATGGTGGTGGGAAAGTGATTGAAGCCCAAATTTTTGATCAGGACCAATAACATTCTTCTTTGAATTCTTTCAATAATCTCTAGATACTAGTGCAGTTTTGCACTGCCCATTGTATTCATTAAGCACCAATACCTTTTGAATAGGTGCAAATTCTGAAATTGCTATCTATACATACATACATCCATTGACTCCAATGTTGATAGAATGATGAAAATATAAAAAAATTACTTGAGTCCCAAAAGGCTGGAATTGCTGATTAGCCAGTTTTTCACATCAAGTATCCAGTTGATATTTGTAGAATGAGAAAATGCCATCTCTTGAGCCCGGTTGACATTCAAAAGCTACAGTGTAATGACAATAATAATAATACAATTAAAATAACTATAAAAATAACCAAAAATGTTATAAAAGGAAAAGATAAATCATTCAGCTTTAGTTTACAATTATTCTAGTTAAAAATGAAAGAAAATACATTGCTATCATGTAAAAATACAAATTAAATTCTTAAAAAGCTAATATTTTGATTGTTGAAAAAAAATCTCATTTTATCTTTATATTTAACAATGAAAATCAATAATCACTGCCTTACTATTTGATTGGAACTTCACTACATACATAAAATAAACTACAAAACTGACAGCATACTTTTTTCAATTTAATTTAGAAACTTCAAAACTCACCACAGGCAAAGTATTAGAAAGTGAAAATTTTAAAATACAGTTTTTCATGCAGCAAAGAAGTTGAATTTTTGGCACCTGAAAGATTTAAAGTTTATACTATTAAGAGGAAATAAGTGAATCTTTTATAAAAAAATCTATTGAAGACACACAGACTTAGGAATCATAGGGTGTTAAAATATCAAGTTACTTTTGATCTATCATATTTGAGATATATTAAAAATGAAAAATAATGTTATTAATATTTTATAGTATTTTTGTAATGAGGTTATCAGACTTATGATAAAAAAGGAACCTTTATGAAAGTAGTAAATAACAAATAATAGCAAAATAGGAAAAGTTGTACAATTTAAAAGGAAAAAACAGTTAAAATTGATTTTGTTTAATGGAAATAAGCTCTAAATTTACAACTGATGACAAATGTTTTGTCTAAATTAAATAAGAATTTTGTTTAATCCCATTCCTATATTTGTTTCGATTTTTGTTGAATATATTCTTTCTATTATGTATTTTTCTCTCATAGTGTTTGTAATATTCTCTATATTGCTGTAACATTACTTTTTTATTTTCTTTAGAACTTGAATTATTTAAGATAAATTGGGTTGAATTACCTTTATTTTTTTTTTTACCTATATGGTCAGTCAGATAAAATAGACTAATACACTGTCATAATAAATAAACTTATTTCCTAACAATAGGAAATTTCAAATGACACGCCTCCTAATGCTCATGTTAATGTGTATACAGTTAATTGTACAAGAGATTCATCGGTACCAACATTTGGTATTGAAGAATCCTTCAAGTCTATGTCTGAATCATCCTGAAGTGTTCTCCCGTAACACAGAATTATGGCAAACAAGAAAACAGTAACTATTCCCCCGAGTCTCTCATAGAAAAGGGGTGCTAAATATACTAGTCTAACTATAACCCACTCACAGCAATATGTGTAACATTGACAATCCCATAATTCTTGGGTTTACTCTTTGTTTGGCAGTCAGTTGTAATTCTCTTATATCTAATATATGTGCAGGAATTCAAATTAAAAAAAAAAAAGTGAGCAATTTAATGCTATTTCTTCATAAAATATAGAAGCGGGTACTGAAAAGGTTTCAACCAAACAGTTTCCAAAATCTGACCAAATGACAAAACATCAGAATTTTGGAGTGAATCCCTTCTTGTTTGGGCAAAGTACAGTTCAGCACCCCCACATGGACTGATAAATAAATTCACTTGAACTTTGTTATCTACTATTTTCATATTTCAATGTTTATAAAATTTCCTCAAAAATTTAATGTAAAAAAGGTACAAAGTCTCATTTCAATGATGCTACTACTGTCACAGTGACCACTAAATGAGAAAGCATGAAACAAATTATAAGATGAACTGTATGCTCATATATAGATTGGCAGTTAATTTATAGATACAGCTTGCCTGTTTTGCCCTGGAGCAAAATGGTAAAAATAATTTATTCACACTGTTTTCACCAAGATTTAAGGAGTTTTATCTCAACATATGCAGTCAAATATGAAATTTAAAGGAGTGAGAAGTTTTCCAAAACTACTCAATTCATACAAAATCATAACATTCTACTTCAAGACAATTCCAGTCATTTACAACTTAAAAATATAATCATATCAGCTATTAATATTGATTAACTTACCTCAGAATATTCTTTTAAGTGTACATTATGCACTTGGATAATAGTACCAACATGCAAATGACCAAAATGATGAATGAAGGAAACATAAAACAAATTCAGCCTATTATCAATAAAAAAAGAAGACAAAGTCAATCAAAAACACTACAGCAAAAAATAAAATTTTTAAAAAGCTCAAATAATATTGAAAAGAACATAAAAGAAATGTCTGATTTCTTTTATTTGGGGTGAAGACATTATGAGAAACAAAGAGAAATGTTTAAAATAAGCAAAACATACTTTCCTCTTTAGCTTCCAAAACAATTTTACTACTACTACTACTACTACTACTAATACAGTTATTATTATTATTATTATTATTATAACAACGACAGCATTAGTTGCTGTACACATTTCTCATTTTCAACTGCATTCTGATGAGGAAAGGGCAACAAATTGGTTGAGCTGTTTTTAGTTTTAATTTATTGGCTTTTTTGATATTACCATTATATGGTAATATTGTTATTGCATCCTATTGTTTTACTATGTCTGTTTTAATAACAATTATTATATTCTGTACCCCTTTTAAAATATTTAAATATTTACAGATCAGGCACACTGTTGATTTAAGTTAAATGTTAGTTAAAATTGGAGGTAAAATCCGAACTGCAAGCTCCAACAAAGTTTTTCTAAAAATGTATTTATATGATCAAGTTTGTCTGACCTATATTAGTTACCAGGTCACTATGGTAAAGCTATGCCACAGTTATATCATTGAATGTGCCCTTGTTAATGAGATTGCAAAATCATTCAACATTATTGATATCCTAAAGAGGGAGGTTATGTTGTGGTATCTGTTTTATTTTGACACAGTATATTTTTCACATTTACTTGCTATTATTGAAAAGTATGGTTATGCTATTTCACAAGATGACCACTAAAAGAAGTTCCAATTTTTAATATATAAAAAGTTGAACAGCTTGTCTACTTCCAACAAAGAGTGTGTTCTTAACTTGTCTATACATCAGCTATTTACCACTTAACGATATGTATTGATGTATGGTTTGGAATTCTGTATTCAACTTTGTCTATTAAAGGAGTATTATTTTGGTAAATTTGAAGAAACTCTTAATTTTATTATTTTTGTTAAATAAATGTTATCTTGTATTGCAGACCCATTTAGTCTGTTATTTTGTACTTGTACCTTTTCACTACCATTATTTCACATAAAATATTCTCATAGAGGCATTATACATTAACTATAGAAGTATCCAGCACACTAAACTGTTAAATTTATATGTCATAATAAATATTACTTAACCTGATAATGATGTATGTGAGGTAGTTTGGGATTACAACAATTATGTGAACAAAATGATGGCTGTTTTGAATAACAGAGACAAATTTATAAAATTTGAAATGGATAAAACACATAATAGGATAATAACTCTTAAATTACACTTTCAAAAACAATTACTCAGGTTGGTCAAAAGTAAAGTCCTTCTGATAGACATTTATGAATCTATCAGGATTCTGGGTTCCATAAACCTTGATTGTATGGTATACTCAAAATTCATAAAGATAACTGATATGCTTCATATTTGGGCTTATTAATTTAACTTATACATGTGTGTTAATACAACTTGTTTATTCTGTCATTTTGACTTATACTTATACTACAATTAAAAGGACACAACTCTTTAACTTTCAATAGCTGTGGTTACAATAATGTTCCCTTGCAAATTTTATCTATGTTTGGGTCTGTGCGGCACAAATTATCAAAATGGGTGACTGCTTTGTTTGTTGCAGTCAGTGCATGAAAGGTATATGGTTAACTGTTAAGGATTCTTTTACCTTTATACAGAACTGTCCTTCAGTCATGATAGTAAATTTATATGCTCATTTGAAATCTCAGCAGCCTGTTTACTTGTGTTCTTATCCAAAAGACCAACATTTGCACTGATGCTTTGTTTTCATTTTTTCCCACCTCATACTTTTGAAGGAATGAACTTGCATATAAATCAGGGGAACTCACTTTGTCATTTCAAAAACTTTGCAACAGCAAATACCGAAACTAGCTCATGAAACTCACCAAGGTATTACAAAGACTAAGGTTTTACTATGTGAAACAGAAAAAATGATAAGGAATTGCTTGCCCTGCTTAAGTTTTTCTACACCAAACACTCCAGAATCTATGAAATCAAAAAACATGGGACAATCATGTAAAAGGGTTCATAACAACATATGTGGGTCATTCCTGACAGGTGAAAAGCCTGAAATCCATATAATTAGAGTTACAAACTATCTAAATCAGACATTTCCTAGATTCAGATACCCTAAAGTCATTGTTACAGATAAATGCTCCCAACTTAAATAGTATAGACATAAACCAATTTTGTGAGCAAAATAGTATTCAGCCCCACCAATCAATACCCTACCACCCTCAAAGAAATTCTGAGATAGAAAGATTTTATAGAATACTAGGTAAAGCCATTAAATTATCATATACCAAAAGATGAGACTGTAGAACACAAATTTTCCAATTTTTACTTGCATATATATATACACTGCATATTGTCTACTCAGGTGACTCCAGCTAAACTACTTTTTGGTCAACCGCTACTGAGACTGTTAAAAATCAACATAAACAGGCTACACTGAAGAAGTAATAAGTTGTTTATGTCTTTGTTATGATATGGAACATGGTATATGAAAGTTTGGAAAGACATGCTTTAAAGCTTCTTAATAGAATGCTTGCAGAATATGAAAATTAAGGTAAAAACAAAACACTACATTTCAGACAGGCTTGGAATGCTATACAGAAATAAAAAGAGAGCCACCTCATGAAGTCAAATACTGGTATGTTGGAAGTGTGTTGTAATCATTTTTTTCTCTCATTATGTTTAAAAATATGTATTTCCAGACATAGCTCTGCATATTCCCACTTGAACAAAAACAAAAAAAAACAAAACTAAAAATCAAACAGGAATTACTCTCATAAATGATTATTATTTGTTCCGCTATCATCTACAATTTCATAAAGCGAAAATTACCAAAATATATAAATTTCAAGTCACTGTTATAACATGTTGTCGCCATCAAATTGGCAGTAGAATGAATTAAAGACTAACATATCAACAACAGTTACGTAGATAGTGCCATGTTTTTTTATTTCATATGTATGGTGGGTCAGAAACAACAGGAGTTCACATGGAATAGGAATAATTAACAAACTTTATTTTCAAGGACTATACACACAGGTTCCTTCCCCAGATACCCTGTCCCTCCCTCATGAAGAATTCCCTTTTTCCTTTGTGTCTTCTCAGGGTTATTCCCCTTATACTACAGTCTAAGGCAGACATGGACAAACAGTAATTTATCTAATTTCACAAAGAAAATAACATTAATTCAAATTTTGTTTGTCTTATTTCGTCCTTACTTGTTTATATACACACACACACACACACACACACACACACACACACCCTCAATCAAAAAAGGTTGGGGAAAGGTGGAATCACAGAGGAATCATTATTACATGCCTGATTAACCTCCCTTGTTGCATGAAAAAAAAAATGAATAGTCATCTATGTAATTTTCAACATGCCTCAGAGTCAATCTACATCAACCCAAATATTCAAAAAACCTCACAGTTGGTATCTCTACTCAGGACAAAGGAAAGAAAAGAATTGATTTGATGTTCAATTTTTGATTCCACTGCTTATAACAACTTATGATAATTCAGATTGACAGTTTAAATATGCTAAAAAGGATTCAAAGAAATAGTACATGCAAGCTATGTTGTTAGCGAAAAAATGGCAAAACATTCAAAATTTTTCCAATAGTGAATTTGTAAAAGAATGTCTTTTGTCAGTGACTGAAATTTTGTGTCTGAAAAAATTGAATATACTCGACAAGATTAGTTTGTCTTGCAGGACAATAACAAGACTGGTTGAGGAAATTACAGTAGATATTGAAGGTACACTGACTGAAAAAAATAAGGGATTTCGATTTTCTTTTTTTTTTCACTGGCTATTGACAAAAAACTCAGATGTATCTGATTCAGCACAGCTGGCAATTTTCATACGTAGTATTGATAAGTTAGATATTCAATATCACTGAAGAATTACTAACTGTTCAGACAACGAAAGATATGGTTGTAATGTAACAGGATATAAGAAGATCTATAAAGTTAAGAAAGCAGCCTCGAAGTTGAATCTCCTGCTTGAATGACTAGTCAGCATAGCAATGATTGGGTCTAAGATAGGCTTTCTTATCAAATTAAAAGAATTAACTGCCTTGAATTTATCAAACAGTAACAATCCAACTATATTAGTCGAAGCAAAATAATTCTATACTACAGTAAGTCAAGCAATCTATTTCATTCAATTTCACCATCGACATAAACTGTTTAATTCCTTACCAGATCTTAAAGCATAACACCTTTTACCCTTGATCACACAAACAATAACTCTAAGGTGTTTTAAACAACTTTATTATATCGTGTGTACTTGTTGTGATATAAAAATAATATTTGTTAAAAAACAAATATCTGCCTATTTGATTACTACAAGTGTGATGAATTTCTTCAGCAAAAATTTAAAGAGGGATCTTTGATGCATGTTTATGAAACTCTACCCAAAATGAACTAACCGAAAATAGTGTGGTTTGCTAGAAGGTATGTCACCATGTTTGGTAGTATGCATAAATGTGAACAACTATATTCTAGAATGAAAATAATAAAATCAAAGACTAGGTTCAGATTGACGGAGACAATAGTTTCAACATCGCAAATTCCTGTAAATATTGAGAAACGTATAGGAAATGTGCAATGCCAGTTTTCCTATTAAAATTCATGAGTAAATTATTTTTATTTACATCATCAATAACAAATGGACGATAAATACAATGTTTCTTGTTTGTTTTGTTAGGCAGTGTTTTACTTTTAATCATCATGTTTTAATCGGACTATTTCCAGTGCCTATGCTGATCTTTTTTTTTTCTTTTGATTTCTGGTGGTTATATTTCAGGCCAAACAAATTTGTTTTTCAATTCTTTTTCTAGTTTCTTCCCTTTATTCATAGATATCTAACACGTTAAATGCGCATATTTAAATGCACACGA